GCAGAAAGATCCTTCCTAACTCGTGCTTGGGTTAGCTTGTTACAAGAAACCTCTGCACTGATTGGTCATTCCTAAAAAGTTTTTGACTAGTCTATTTCAGACTATGAATCTATAACTAAACCAGATTATTATAGGTCCACTTGGCCAATGCTTCTAAAAGTGAACTTTGTTCTAAAAGCAATTATCTTGTGTGTCTGTGTTTGTTTAAACTGATTAAGTTACCTCAACCTACTTTGTTAAAACCTGAGTAATTTTACCAGAGACTTATGATGGCATACTCCAACAAACACTATTAAATATGTTGTTGTAATATACTTACATCAGTTATAATCAAAGGGTTAAATTTTCTTTGTCTAAAACAATAAGGTTTTCTTAAAATATTAAGATACTCTTGGTTAAACTTGCAAAACTAAATTTAAAAACAAAGGTTCTATATTGTAATTAGTCTTGTGCTTTCCACTGTTAAACTTTGCTTAAATTGAGTTTTAAAAGTTCAATCAAATGTTGGCTTATAAAATCTTTTCAATAATCAGTTTATGATGACTTAAATAAACAACTATAATCTCAACTTATGACATAATTTATGTATGTGGTACCTCGGTTCATGAATAATTCATTCCATGATTATGAGGAAGATGGATGCATTCATGTTCATGTGAGGAAGATGACCAAGGTCACATCACCACCGTAGGCGGAGATCAGAAACAGAAGCATTCATGAACCAAGGTAGTACTGTATGTGTGTCTATAACAAGATATAAGTCTAAACTTTAAATGTATAGAGCTAGAACTATATAAATTTAATGCATATATTTAACTAATGTGTTTCTCATTTTCTATACACCTAGTTCTTAAACCAAAATTTGATTTTATATACACAAGGTGTATATAAAAGGGTTCTTAAACCAATATTTGACATCTCTCTTTTAAATTGTGTCCACCATTTAAAACTTGATCTATATCCATTGGCTTTATTAAACAAAACTTGTGTTATTATATAAATGAGATATGCTTGCATATTAGATAAAAGTCTATCTGTGGTGAGCAGCACTATTTCCTAAACTTATAAGAGTATCTATAGATGTCCCTTAATTCTTATCAATGTGGTTACCCCCTGTAAATGTGCCCAAAAATATCTAAATTTTGCCTTAAGAATAAGAACTAAGATCTGGGCATGGTGGCACATGCCTGTAATCCCAGCACTTGGGTGGCTGAGATAGGAGGATTGCTGTGTACTTGAGGCCAGCCTGGGCTACATGGTGAGTTCAAGGTTCAAGGCCAGCCTTAACTACACAGTGTGCCCCTGACCCAAAACTCCTCCCCTAAAGAACGAAAGTAAATACATACAAAACCTATAACCCTGACATTATCACTAAATTCACAGTGTATTAAATATATTTGTGTTTTCCAAGTATACAGGTCTTCGAACATACAACGTTGGAAAAAGAATATTATGTTAGTGACTTCATGACTGAAGCTTTTTGTGGTGGGAAAATTTTTAACAGTTGTCACGACTGTGTTAAAACAGTGTGTAACTCCAGTTGCTAAGTGACATCTCCAAGCTTTTAAGCCTTCTATGAGTTCCTTACGTAGACAGGTGGGTTCCTAGATATAAAAATCTTTAGCGCCCCTAATTTTTAGGCAAAAGTTCAGCTATTGTACAAAACTCCTTTTTCCTGCCTCCTTAAATCCATAAAAGAAGGTTAAAACAGCTATATGCCAGGAACAGGATGCTGAGAGAGGCCTAGGTTAATTACAAACAGCGAGGCAGGCTATGGCCTTGGGTTGGGCTTCACATGCAGTGTGACCTCAGATACAGCAGGTGGCTCAGAGAGCCTGACCTCAGGAGACCTAAGCAGGATGCATCTTTTTCTCTCTCCCTTTCTCTCTCCTCAAAAGTACACAGAAAAGATCTTAAAGTCATCCAGTATATCTTAAATGCTTGTAAATATTTTAATGTTTGTCCACAAAACATCAGTTTTAGGTTTTATTTTGTAAACTTGCAAGTTTATAAACTTGTAAAAACTTTTTAAACATAGATTTTTCCAAGTATAAATTAAAAAGACAAAAAGAAAAGGCCTCGGATCTGGCTTTATAATAAAGAGAAAAAGTAACAAATATCCTCTCTAACAATTTATAGCTCTTTTCTGTGATAAGGTATTCTATACTAGGTAAAAGTTTAAATATACTTTCAGAGATTTTAAAAAATTTAATGATTCTCACCTAATAGTGTCAGCATAATTGTTGTGCTAAAATGTTATGCTTTGTTCTTGATCTCAAGTTCTTAAGTTCTTCCAGTAACACTTTATAACTGTTATCTGATACTAATCTATAAAAATTTGACTTCTAATGTAACTGAGGTCATTGTAATAGCTAAACCTACTGCTCTCACTTCAATACTGATCTACCCGACCTGCTGGATATTCAGCAATTCAGGCCCCAAGACCAAAATGAAAAACAACTAAATAGCTAACTGGACTGCGAGGACAGCCAATATTTTGACATTGGTTCTCTGAGGTCAACAAGGACTGAGGAATGAATAAACTTCTCTTCGAGATCCTACAACTCTGTAAGTCACCCAGCTCTGGGGGACAGAAATCAACTGATGCACACTGAGCTAAAAAGACAATCACCAGGAAAAAAGCTATAGAGTCAAGCAAGACCATGAGTCATCCTAGCTGATGACACTGACCAAGGAGCTAAGAGACTGTACATGGTCACAAAAGTAACCCCTACGGAGCCTTAACTGATTTTAATACATAACATAAGGTTAATTTTGATTAAAACAAGTCTTACTTTAACTTTGTCTTAAACACCTAGAAGAAAGATAGAAACAAAAAGATATTTAGAATCCAGGGTAAATTTACAAAGGGAATTCAAATCCTATGTACTGGTCTCTGCTGACAGTTTCCAGCTGCACATATAACTTGTCACTTTTGGGATTCATTGACACCACAGAGCCACAATAACAGGTATAAAAGTTCTACAAAAATCTTTAAATTCCTTAGTTAAAACTGTCCTTCAAAACCACAGGGCTCTCACTCAGTATGTTCATGGCTAGAAAACTTACATGATTATAAATAAAACATCATGTTTAAATAAGTCACATCAAATAAAAAGATTTTGAATGATAACAATACACAATATATTAACCATTCTAAATCTCCTATTATTTTGTTTTGAAATTCTGTATCATCACTTTTATTCTTTTTTCTTTTTAAAATAAAAAAATTTTTTAAAGATCTTAAAAATCAAACTTAGAGATAACCTCTTCACTGCAAAAAAGAGAGGCTATGACTATTCCTAAAATTAGTAAAATAAAGCAAATGTCGCTTTTATGGAATCAGTCTGGGATGGTGAGATGCGTAGCAAGGAAACCAGCTGGCTGTGCTTCTAACAGCTGCCAGAAATATCTAAGTCATAGAGATCCTAGTCAGGGATCTGGAACTGGATATTCTGGTTACCCTTCCTAGGAGGACCATTATTAATGCTTCTCGTAGCCTTGACATTTGGACCATGCTTTCTCCATCTCAGTCGAATGCATTTCTTCCCATTTAACAGCTTTAAAGCTACAAATAGTGATGTGGACAGACTTCTGACAAGTGGTCTTCTTCACCTCATTCAGGACCATTGCATAGGCCTCCCCATGGTAGACCTTGGCTGCCATCCCCAAACAACACCCTCTTTTCATCAGGAAGTAGCTCAAGAGATCACCACTTGTTGCCTGACAGCAGTCAAGGATAGCTACTGTACAGGGGGAAATTGAGGCCAGGAGATAGAAGGGAATTAGGCAGACAAGGAAGAAGCCCTGGATAGTTAACCTAAGTAAGCTGAAGGTCAGGGTTGGGCAAGTTAAAATGCAAAAGGCCTAATTAGATCACTGGGTGAACTAGAAAGTACCTTGGTGGATTAAAATAAACAAGACAACCTGCTTTCCAGATGCTAAAGGACCTGGGACACAAGGCAGCCACGCTGTGTTCCATCACATACGCCTGTACCAAAGAGGTATAAAAGACGTGGCCTTATATTGCTATGGGTTTCTGCCTTTCAGAACACTGACAAGAGGGGAGTCTTTTCTTCCTCTTCTTCCCTATACATACTCACCTGGTCCATCCCCATTAGTTGCTGGCTGTTGGATTCTGCTAAGAGTTTTGGATTTTGCTCTTTTTAATTCTCAATGAGATTCAGAGGATGAATGTGAGAGCCAAAGAAGGAAAGTATCCAGGGGCTACACTGCAAAAAATTAATAACATCTAGGTTCAAAATGGGGCCTAACTCCAAAACACTTTGTCTGTTTCTCTTGATTAATTTCCTCTTCCATCTCTCTTGCTCTAAAACAGTAACTCCCAAGTTATGGTCCTGGAGCTGCAGAAGCAGCAAGTGGGAACTTAGTGAAAATGCAAATTTTGGGAGCCCACCCCAGATGCACTAACTCAGAAACTTCTGGAGTGGCTCCCTCCGGATGAATCCAGTGCTCTCTAGAGCTTGGGAATCTCTGCTCCAGAGGGGACACTCACCTTTCAAGGTAAAACTTACACTTACATTAATACCAAATGTCTCATCAGTTAGCAATTCAGTCTCCTGAGCACGTTTATTCAGGTTGCCTAGCTAATTTCTCATGCGGGCATCATACAGGGTTTTCATTTGAGTTGTCACTAAGCCTTTGCCACATAAACAATCAGCACTTATTTTGTTATATTCATTAAGTATAATTTGCATACAATAAAAAGGCACAAATCTGACACTCAGAGTTTGAGTTTTGATTATTATCATCCAACTACCACCCCAGGCTATGGAACATGTCCATCTATTCTCTAAGAAATTTCCCTTGTGCCCATTCCCAGCCTATCTCTACCTACTACCTCAATACCCATGTCATGGTTTATGTGGGTGACCCCCAGGCCTCATATGTTTGCTTGTGCATTTGTGATTGGCTCATTGTCTAGCCTTCAGATTGGTGGTGTGAGTGCTACACCCACCTAGGGGTGGAGCCAGCATACAACCCGTAAGAGCTGGAAGAAGATGTGCCTCTCTGTCTTGTTGGTTTCTGCCTTGCTGTTTTGCAGCTGCCATGAACTGTGGCCCCGTCATATCACTCTGCCTTGAAGCCAACTGAGTACAGACTGAAACCTCCAAAAACTGTAAGAAATAAACCTTTCCTTTCCCAACTTTGGACATCAGGTATTTTGTCTTAGCAACTAGTAAAAAGTAACTAAGACAACCCATCAAACTCTGCTCTGCTTTGTATTCATGCAGCTTAGATTTGTAATTTTTTAGTGTCATATAAATGGAAATTTATAGTATGTAGTCTTTTATGTCAAGCTTCTTTCCCTGAGCTAAATGTCTATGAGATTCATCCATGTTATTTTGTAGAGTAAGAGAATGTTCTTTCTTATCCTTAGATAGAATTCCATGTGTGAATATATACAATTTGTTTATATATTAATTTGTGGACTGAAATCTAAGTTGCTTCCAAATTGGAGCCATTATAACAGCAACATACCAGCTTCAGAGACATCCTTATACTTGAATGATACATAGATAGAGTTAAAATTCTTGCTCAAAATTAATTTCCCAAATGATCATAAGGTAATGTTCTATTGTTGTATTCCACCAGAGTTGTTAAAAAGTTTAATTGACCTGGTGATTTACTCATTCTCTTATACATAGTTTGTGTTTTTGCTCTTTTTGGAGGATTTTACATTTTATTACTATAGTCACTAAATTTTTACCACAGTATGTTCTGCATTATATGCCTTCTGAACAACTTTCATAAATTCCCTCTTCAGCAGTTTAATCAGTTGGTTAGCTATTGCCTTCTTAAGTTGAGCAACTGTACTTTTAATTTCTGGAAATACGCTAATCATTTTGAATTGTTTTTAAGACTTTATTTTACTCCTTTGGTCAATTTTAAAGTTATTTTAGTTACTTTGAAAATAACTAATTTGCAATCTGTTTTTGATCATTTTATTAACTAAGACACTTGGAAATCTAGTTTATATGTTTTCACTGATATTTGCTCTGTTGGATTACTTTCAGACATATTTATAATTTTGTATTGTAATATATGTTTGACATGGCTTTATAACAGACAATTCTCTTATAAGGGTTGGCCTGGTTTGAAGGTGTATCTTTCCAGACAATTTTTATATTTACCTTTTCTAGATTAGCTTAAGATGTTAAAAGCTCATCATTTTGTTTTAGAATGAGTCCTTGGTTAGCCTAGAAGTATAAATTCAAATCTCAAACCAGAGTCAAAGCAGAACAGAATACTTGTTTATAATCTACAAAGATTGTAAGCTAAATACATAAGCTTTTTTTCATGTCTCTGAGCATATTTTAACTAGTTTACCTTCTCAAAAAAAAGTAACTCCTTTAGAGTTTTGTTTTATGTGAGCATACATATATTAACTTCTTGCCTTGAGCTAGGATCAATGTCTGTTAAAACCCAAGCCCCTCGCTTTTTTTAGTTAGTAACACCATTCTTGTCCCCAAGTCCCTTCCCCTGCCAGGCCAGCTTTTCTTTATGCTCTAGCAGAGGCAGCGGACTGGGGATGGGAAGGATGTGTGGATGCCTTTACATCTGAGTCTGGAGAGGAAGACCTCCTTCTCCATCCCTGAAAGCTGAATGCTCAGTCTGTACAGCCTCTCACGGGACCTCAGGGATGACTCCCCGAAGTTCTCTTCCTGTGCATTTTTGCCACTTCATTCACTTTCCATTTGTGGTACTTATCCTTATTCCCCCTTCCCTGTATCCCACACTGACCTTTTGCCAACAACTGGGTCATTTCTCACTCAGTGACTCTGGTATACTAGCTGAAATATAAATGTGTTATTTGATACCCTCCAACCACACATGCAGAGCCAATTAATTAGATTTTACAATACAAGACCATATATTACTACAGTTTCAAAGGGTCCTCATCAAAATTGGTCTCACTTTAGGGATCGTGGCACATCCAGTAGAGCCCAAATTGCCAATCCACTCTTCAGAATACAAGGGCCCCTCCTGAGACCCCACATCTCAGAATAGGATGTCAGAGCTATAAACCAACTCATCTTCTTGTCCACAGGATAACCAATTTGGAGACTAAATTTTTAGTCCAAATGTCAGTTAATGCCCCCACTTGGGCTCAGGCAATCCTTAATTTGCTTCTAGGGTCCTGAAGAAGAGTTTGACTGCCTTTCTATCTCCCTCTGGTCTCCTGCTGGGTCCAGCTCACTGTCAGTAGACTTATGTTCCCAGAACATGCTCTTCTCCTGGAATCCTGTTGCTTGGGAGCCCATGAACACCTTTCAGAGAAGCAAGGGAGAGTCAGGCTCCCAAGTCAGGCTCTAGTCCTCTTTCCAAGATGCCTTAGCACATTCTGGAGAGGAAGGCTCTGCAGCCAGACAGACCTGGCTCTGAATCCTGACTCAGTCACTTGCTAAACATTACTCACAGAGTTCTCATAATTTAAAACTAGGTGAAGTATAAACCTTGCAGAGTACAAAAGTGCTCTGCAGATGTATGTTTATAACTTCTCAGCTTCCCCAGCGCAGTGAGAAGTGCTGGTTACATGTCTTGCAGAAGTGCTGCCTACTCGAAGTACATGTGGGTGGACAATGGGTGTTTGCTTCCCTAAGGAACAGGATGCAGTGTTCTGGATCTTGTATTAGCCAGCCCGTGGTGAGCTGCTTTGAATCTCTGTGTATGGCCAAGGTCACTGGGACACATCCCTGACCACACCAGGATTTTGTGCCTGCCTGGCCCATATACTGCTGAACTTTGTAGAGAAAAGTTCCTTTGGATTATGCTTGTGACCTTTGTCTCTTACTCTATCTTATCTTGTTTTCAAATGCATAAACCTGGTAACTCCAAGCTATAAAAGTGGCCTATTCCAATGCTTCAGCTTGCTTTTTAGCATTTACCATACACCCACACCAAACCAGAGGCTGTCACCATGACGAGAGACCAAAATGGAACCTGGGAGATGGAGAGTAATGACAACTTCGAAGGCTACATGAAGGCCCTGGGTAAGGGGATAAGGGATGGGGAAAGAAGGGGATGGTGGGAAGATGTTGTCTGGTCCTCTAGTGCCACTGTAAAGTTCAACAGACATTTATGCAAATCCTCACTCTTTTGATTACAGCAGCACACACATTTCTGAGGCTCAGTTTCCTTATTGCAAATTGGGAGTAATAACAAAAGAGATTATGTTTAGAGTGTTTTCAACACAGTCCCCATCTCAGACAAAACAGATGGTAAGCAGAGAGTATGCATATAACACACACAACAAACACACACACGGGATAGAAGTTATCTTGGGGGAATAAGACAGCCCTTTCCTGCCTTAGCCACCACTTCTTTTATGATCATTTGGTTCTAACATCAATCTACCTACGACCCTTGCTTTCTCTTTGTCAAACTTGTATGGAAAGACGGGAAAGGAACAGGTGACAGGTCTCCCAGCCTAGAGAACATCAGGGCCACAGACGGGTGGAGGAGGGTTTTGTCACATGATTCAACCACTCGCTCTTTCTCTGACTTCCATCCTGGGCTCTTGGCCAAGGACCATCTATCAGTCATGTTCTCAGTTGACAACAGGTGGGTCTCTTCAGTGCTGGCAGAAACGTGTAATCCTCTTAAACCTGTGGGCTCTACATGAAAGCAGAAGGGGTGTACGTGCAAAGGGGAACTCATGGCAGCTTTACTGCCTGTCTTTTCTTCTCTGTAGCCCCTGCCTACCATATTTTCCAGCTTTAAATTTCTCTATATGCTTAGAGTTATCTCACTGGAACTTCCCACACAAACAGCATGAGAAAAATGGCTAGAGGGAGGTTCAGAGGCCCAATAATTTGGATATGAGGGTAGGATATCACTCCAGGAATGAAAACAATGTGTTCTTTGTGCAAGTCACTTCTCGCTGAGGAACATTTCTCCCATGACAATAAAAAAAAGGCCTGGCCAAGTGCTGTTTGGAAGTTTTGAGGTTTCAGCAATAGACTGAGCAAGCTGGACTCACCAAATACTTCAGGAAGCAACTTTGAGCATCTCACTGCTTTTGTTTAAATAATAAAAAGGCCTAGAATGGCTTTAGTATAAAATCCAGTGTCAGCTTAGTCTATGGCACACACATAACATGCGCACAGAACAAAAATTACCTTGAGGGAGTAAGGCAGCCCTCCACAACCACACCTCTTTGAAGACCATTTGGTTCGAACCTCATCCACAATGACCACTACTTTCTTTCTCTTTGTCAAACTGGACATAGTTTAAGCTCCTAAAGCCTGTAATGTCTCTCTCTTCAGGCAAGCATTGACCCCTCATAAACTTTCTCCACAAAATACTCTCTTTAAAGTCAGCCTTCTTCCTGACTCTCACACCAATTTACATCCTCAATATGGGTGAGGGGCTGAAAATCACTAATTGATTTTTATGTCTCCCCTATATAAGGTTCTGAATTGGCCTTTCTAATCCTCAGCCCAGGAAAGTTGTCTCATAGCATCAATCAAAACTTCAACACCACACTACACTGACCTCACTTTAATGAACCAACTGTTTGATCTCTTTGTAACAGGGTCTCTGCATGCAGAGGGTTAGCTGACACTTGACTAGCTGAGATGAATACCATAGGTGATGGTTTGGTTAAACAGAGGGTAGAAGTGGTTGGTGCCTGACTTCCCCAGCTGTTGATAGTCTAGTATCTCAGGCTCCTAGGTGTTTGTCACATCTCCAAGAAGCCCTGAACAGAAATTCACAGCCACATTCCTATGCCTGAAACAGGACAGGTGATTTGTCCTACCTGATCATGGGGACATCAACCAGGCATGGAACAGCAGTGATTAAAAACAGGTTTCAGAGAGATGAACCAGAGCAGACAAGGTGTGGCTTCTTTTTAACCTAATCTTCTGAAGCAGTCTAGCAAATCTGTACAGCTCCCTCCACACCCAGGCTGCAAGGCAGGCTGATTTCCAAACACTGAAACATCAATGAAGTTTGCCTTTCTTGCCCTTTTGAACAGTGACCCTTGGCATTTAGGAAGAGTATGGGTAGAGACTTGTATATCCCCAGATGTGTAAATATCACCAATAAAATACCACCCCTCAAGATCCATCGCTTCTTACACTTTAACCTCCACACCAGGGAGCTGACTTTCTCTGAGGACCCAGTTTTAGGTTCACTAGAGTGGAAGAAACCACATTGAGATGCAAGTCTGAGCAACACAGTTGTTTTGTCAGTTCAGAGACTTAACTCCGCACACTGACCTCTCCATGTGACTCAGCTGCCAGTCTCAGCAGTGATAGTAATGACAACCTTTGGGTTTGCTTTAAAATTACCTAAGTAATTAAGAGTTCAAAGAAGGAGTGCCAAAGGTTGGTCAGTGGCACTTCCTCTCCTACTTTCTTGGTCCCCTGGTGTTTCTTAATGCTCTAGGAACAGTGATGGCAAACCTTTTAGAGACCAAGTGCCAAAACTGTAACTCTAAAACCACTTATTTATTATAAAGTGCCAGCCCTGCAGTTAAACCTGAATACTGAGGTTTCAGTTTAGAAAAGCACTCATACACTTGTCTTGCACGCTGGCAGAGAGGCCCACAGCAACACATGTTCCATAGGTTCACCACCACCACTCAAGACTCTTTTCTGACACTGGGGGAAGGAGATGATGAGCTCTTACACCCTAAACAACTTTTCATGTCCTGAAGTCCTCCTACTATTGGGTCAGAGAGGGATGAGGAAGGTGGCCTTCATTTTGAAGGGGAGGCCAAGAAGGGTAGGCATAAGGAGGAGATTTCAGTAAAGTGAAGGAGCAGTGTGCATGTTGGGATGAGGAGGGAACCCAGTGGCTCTACCTGGCAGTGTGTTTGGGGGTGGGGAAGGAACCCAATAGCTCTACTTAGCAGGGGGACTCACCCAGCTCCTGCACCAGCTTCAGCAGTTGCTTGTGGAAACAGAGACTTTGCCATCTTTAACAGAACCAGGCTTGCTTTCTGTTCATAAGATCAAATTTATACAGGCAATCAAACTGGTTAAGTTATAGCTGTGCCAAAATAGTGTTCCTGTTTTCACTTACTATATAAAAAGCTTTTACAAAATGTAGTGTAGTACATCTCTCACAGCTCTGAGTTTTGGAAGGTTCATCCGGATGGTTCCCAGTGAAGGTCTCTCATTCAGTGTAACTAGACAGTGGCCAGGGATGCTTCCTCACCTTTAGACATGTGTGGCTTGTGGCTGAGACCTCAGCTGCACCTGTCAGTATCTATGTGTGGTCTCCCCACGTGGCCTATGTGTCCTCACAGAATGCTGGCTGTGTCAAAGCAAGAGAAGGCAGAAGCTGCATAACCTGTTACAACCTGGCCTCAGAAATCACCAAGAATCACTCCCACCGCACTATATTGGTCCAGGGGCTGCAAGCCCCCTTAAAACAAGAGATCCCCCTTCCTCAGTAGAAAGAATGTCAAAGTCACATTGAAAAAACAATGTGTAGAGTGAGATGCAGTCGTTTAAGAAAATAATAGTCTGCTACAGATGGACAGTGAGTGATTCTATAACTTGAACCCCAAGGGGTGAGACGCCCTGATGGCAACCCATTTAGAGCTTTCAATGATACAAACAGCTCACTGAAGCATGCATGTCATAGATTCACTACCACTGGACTAGAGTAACACAGAACCATAGTAACAAGTAGTAAAGGATGCTAGAGAAAGGTGCAGTATATGTGTCAGTAAAGGCTTCCTGAGTATTTCAGGGGGCTTTGGGGTTTTTTTGTTTTGTTTTGTTGGTGGTGGTGGTGGTGGTGTTTTTTCATACTGGGGATGGAACGCACAACCTCGCACTTGCCAGTCAGGCACTTACATCACTAAGTTAAATCCCCGGTCCTAAGGTGGAGCTCTGAAGGAAGGAGAAGAGTGTCCTGTGCAGAGTGTGAGCCAGACATGGTCCCATGGGTATGAGACTGGGAGACCAGACAAACTTGTACTGCCAGAGCTGAAGCACAAGGAGTGCGTGAAGCAAGTCTGAGAGGCAGATGGGATACCACATGTGGACTTCAGCCCTTAAGGAGGGGCTCTAGAGAGAAGTGTTGTGCTAAGAGGACAGAGGTCATCACATTCTGAGTAGTGCCTAGCCCAAACAGTTCTGGTGAATCTTTGGAAAATTCTAGTAGGAAAGAGCCTGCCATAGAGATAGCACTCAGACTGCTCCCTTCTGAGGGATTTCTGCCAAGAAGTATTTCTTGAACATCTGCAATGTGATTGGTTTTGGGTTTTGGTGTTTGTTTTGCTTGTTTGCTTATTTGTTTTTGTGATACTGGGAATTGAACCGAGGGCCTCACACATAATAGGCAAGTGTTCTACCACTGAGATACACCTCTGAGTCTCCCAAATGTCTAGGAGCTTGCAGTGAGTTTGGTTAGTGGGAAGATGAGGCAAAACGCATTAAGAATTCTGTTTTGCATATTTTGATTTCAGATGCTTGCTGTGCATCCAAGTGAAGTATTAAAATTGGCATGTTGATATAAGGTTTATTGCTCAGGGTATAGTCAGGGGTGAAGATAGAAATGATGGTTTCCATTTTATGGGATAAGGACTCTGAAGTCCAGAGAAGTAAAGGGACTTGCTTGGGATAATGTGTGGCTAAGAAATGACAGTCCAGACAGCAGCTCTGTGTATCTCTTCTAATACCCAGGCCCTCTCCATAGCACTATTCTAGGCAGGGTCCATGAATGCAATTGTGGAGAAGAAGTGAGATGTTATTCTTAAGAAGGCTTATTTGAACAGGGATGTCCAAAGTAGACAGGCGAGGCCCACAGAAATATTCCAAGAGCATCATTTAGAGTCTCTGGGCAAAAGTAAATGAAGGCATGATTAAGTGAATGTTTGATGACCCAAAAGCAAGGATGAATTTATCTCACAAAATCTGAATTCCTGCTGATGCTGACAAGCCAATTAAGTTACACATATGTGCCTTGCCAAGGTCTTTGCTTAGGCCACACAGTATCTGGTGGTACTGTCAAATGGAAAAACATGGAGAGG